TATTAAATATTATATGTTTAGTACAATATGGAATTCTCAGCTTAGAATATTTCATTAGGTCTCTTTTACTGACTGGCTTACTTACTTACTTACTTACGCCTCTTACCCTCAATGGAGCATAGGCCGCCGACCTGTTTTCGCCAACCAACTCTGTCCTGGGCTTCTCTCTCCAGTTCTGTCCAATGTTTGTTCATTCCTCTCATATCTTTCTCTATTTCTCGGCGTAATGTGTTCCTTGGCCTTCCTCTTTTCCTTTTGCCTTGAGGGTTCCATGTGAGGGCTTGTCTAGTGACGCAGTTCGGTGCTTTCCACAATGTGTGTCCTATCCACTTGCACCGCTTCTTCCTGATCTCCTCCTCCACTGGAATCTGGTTTGTTCTCTCCCACAGTGTGTTGTTGCTGATGGTGTCTGGCCAACGAATACGAAGTATTTTGCGTAGACAGCTGTTAATAAACACTTGTATCTTCTGAATGATGGCTTTGGTAGTTCTCCATGTTTCCGCTCCATATAGTAGAACTGTCTTCACATTTGTATTGAAAATCCTGATTTTGGTTTTGGTTGAAAGTTGTTTGAAGTTCCAGATATTTTTCAACTGTAGAAATGCAACCCTCGCTTTGCCAATCCGCGCCCTCACATCTGCGTTTGATCCACCTTTCTCGTGGATGATGCTGCCCAGATATGTGAAGGTGTTAACGTCCTCCAAGGTATCTCCATCAAGCGTGATTCGGTTGGTGCATGTTGTGTTGCATCGGATAATTTTGCTTTTTCCCTTATGTATGTTGAGACCTACTGCTGCAGAGGCTGCTGCTACACTGGTCGTCTTCTCTTGCATTTGTTGTTGCGTGTGCGATAGAAGAGCCAAGTCATCTGCGAAGTCCAGATCGTCCAGCTGCGTCCTAACTGTCCAGTTGATACCGTGCTTCCCTCCAGCTGCTGACGTCTTCATAATCCAGTCGATGACCAGGAGAAAGACATGGACATGGGGTTGGCGACCCCATTCCGTTGAAATCTCACTTGCCAAAAAAACGCTAACCAGAAAACCAGTTTACTATTTTTTTTCAGCAAATTGTCAGTCACCAAAATTTATCTTGGATTTTACTTTTTTGAAACAATAGCTCGTATAAATATTTCATAGACGCACATGAATAGATTATGTGATGATCGATAGACATAATTAACATGTTAGCGTGCTTTGATATTCGAAAACAGATAGCCTAGATTAATCAAGCGACCAATCGTTCACTGTTATCAGTAATAACTACTTCACTGTCTGTATTCTTTTATTTATTATTATTATTAACAATAATAATGATAACATTCAGAAAGCAGACTTCATCGTAGAAAAGCTCTTCAGTTCGATCCTATGATTAATATTGAAAGTGAGATCATAAGAACTAAGAACTTAATGCTTCCAATCAAGAGCGTCCATCATCAGTAAATTTGTGAAGATCACGTGACAAATACAAAGCACCGATCAGAATTATATTTAAGCCTCAGTACCCTTGAGTCAGATTTAAATGATTATTAGTCTGAAATTCGATAGCTTCTTTCTTTCTAGCCTATCTCTTAGTAAACAAGTCCATAGCCAGACAATACAAAATTCCTTATATCTCAAGTAGACATAGTTTCATTCAAATCATGAATCGATTATTGTTAGACCATTATTTGGAAACCTGAAAACACTGGACAGTTGTTTCATTCTACCTAGTATTGGGACTCATCAGCAGTGCAAATCCACGACCCCCAAACTCGGGAATCGAAACTAGACGCTTCAGTCACGTACGCGGACGCTTAATCTCTAGAAAACTGAGCCAACATCCAACAGTGTTTATATCTAACTTGAATTAATCTATGGGTTTTGTGTGACCTCACATTTTTGTTTATACTTACTTTTAAAATAGCATTACAACTTTAAATATTTTTACCAATACAAAGGATAATCTCGATTTTATTAAATTCAGTTTTAATTCTCTTTAATTCATTTCTTTTTCACTAAATTCTTTCTTAAAAAATAATAACTGACCAAATAATCAATATAGTTTGGTTGTATTTTTACTGACTAACATTTTCTGTTTAAACAGAAATTTCATCATATGAAGAGAGCAATACTCATGATTTGTTACAGAGCAATAAGTTAACTATTATGTAATCACTTAAAAAATAAACTAAGTAGTTTTCTGTGTACAGATCATCCTTCACTGAATGCTTGACAGAAAAATTTAATCTGTCAGCGGTGAAATGGAGTAATGATGTTGAGACTTAACACAGTAATTCACATATAAGTGACTCAGGATGGATGGATTAGAACCTCTCAGCCTTGCAATAAGTTAGTTAGTTTTAAACCACCAGGTTAACAAAGGATATAGTAACTTTTACAATTTAAAATTCTAGTTAGTTTAGGATGAAGCGAAGTAAAACCATTGGATTGGATATATCATTATTAGTCATGCTCATAACATTATCGACATGACTGAAACCTTAATGAATACAATTTCTTAACAAAACTTTAGGAATTTTAATCAAAGTCAATCTATGAATGATCAGATCAGTATCGATTTAACAGATGAAAAAAATGGTCATCATAATTCTCAAGTTAAAGGACCATTAGAAACATGGAAGTACTAGATATCCGTTTCCTCCTAGTGCGTGACTCATCAGCGACGCCCACTCACGACCTCGGCACACGGGAATCGGACCCAGGACCTACTATCTCATGTGCCATCGCTTAACCTCTGGACCACTGAGTCGTGTCATTCAGTGGTGTTTATATCTGTCTTCAACCAATCCATGATCTAGCACAACCTTCATTCATTGTCTTCAGTGGGTAACTGACTGTTTAAGTTGATGGTCTAGTGTGTTACGGAGTCTCGGCACGAAAACAGAAGGCTTGGCTGGCTTTTGCCAAATTGTATCACTTATGGACGAGTTTTCTGCATAGCAATCCGCTCCGACCTACTATACGAGTGTAAAACATGGCCAGGTAGGATTGTAGTGAATGAGAACACAGGTGGGGGCAACCGAATTGTATTTAACGAAAATTACAGAGTTACTCAGTAAAATAGGAAAACCATATCGTAAATCGTTCATTTGCAAAAGATCAGTTCATCCTATGGAACTGGACTGTTCCTGTTGCAAAACATCAATCCATTGTCACTATTCATGCGTTTCATACAAATTCCATTGTTTTCTAACTCTTCCTTTCTTGATCTTCCCCCCATATTATGCTACCAGACTTTACGTTGACACTCACGTCATATACTACTTATAAGTAGTTCGCACCACAGCACCACAGGATTAGTGGATATTCATAGGTTACTAGTGTTCAATCATCGGTGTCTTCGAAGCATTGCTCGTATATCCTGTGACCACTAAAATAAGAAATGCTGATGTTAGGAAAAGGGCACTAAGTAAGGATGACATATCAAAAGTAGTGAATCCTCATCGGTTGATGTATTCGATACATTTGTTGCGTATGCTAAACCACTAAAAACATCGACAAGCGACGTAGTCTGGTGTAGTGGTAGGCCAGAAGAAAAAATTGAGGCAGTCAAACGAATAGATTTCACAAATCCAAAACGTCATTAACGACCGGAGTGAGCTTCTTAGTAGGTGTACACTACCTCGTTGGGTCCGCTAGACGATTATAACTGATGATTAGAGACTTTGAATGATATTGTAGTGAACGAGAACACAGGTGGGCCAACCGAATTGTATTTAACGAAAATTACAGAGTTACTCAGTAAAATCGGAAAACCATATCGTAAATCGTTAATTTGCAAAATAACAGTTCATCATATCGAACTGGACTGTTCCTGTTACAAAACATCAATCCATTGTCACTATTCATGTGTTTCATACAAATTCCATTGTTTTCTAACTCCTCCTTTCTTGATCTTCCCCCATCTTCTGCTGCCAGACATTACGTTGACACTCACGTCATATACTACTTATAAGTAGCTCACACCACAATATGGCTCAAAGTTGCTTGCAACATTACAGGTACATTCATTCTTTGCTTTTTCTTAAATTGTAATCTTCTGAATTCCTCATCACCTTTATCTTTCTCTTTTTAAGTTTAATTCACTAGATTCTAGTTCTTGAATAATTCATTTGAACCCTAAGCTTTCTCCATTATCGCTAATACTTCTTACTACGTCTACTACCAAGGCATTTCAATTGACAATCCCATCTCTCTTTGTGCTAATTAATGTGTGATATGGCAACTGAAACTGATGTACGCACATCAGTCACTTGCAACGTAGAACATCGTACGTATGTACATAAGTTCATGTTGCCATACCACATTAGCACAGAGACGCAAATGTCAAATCAAATCTCATAGTGATAAAGATAGTAGAGGTATTAATCGTAATGAAGAAGAATAGGGTTCGAAGATATTATTCAAGAAGTATAATTCAGTGAGATAAAGTTAGAAAGACAAAGGTAGACGTGCTGACGAATCCAGAAGTTAAGGATTTGAGAGAGCTCAACGAATGGATGCACTTGCACCATTACAAACGATTTTGAGCCATGTCGTTCAAGATCTCTAACCATTGATGACTTTCGTCTCGCGGACCCCAACCAGGTAGTCTACATCTACCAACATGACTCAGTCCACTTGTCAGTGACTTCATGGATTTCTGCCATGTTTTGGTCTGGCCGCCACCAAATTTTTTTCCAGCCTACTCCTACACCACAAAACATAGCTCGTCGAGGCAGTCGGTGGTTAGCCATACGTAACACATGTCCCAACCACCTCAACTGATGAAGTTTCACCACTTCATCTAGATGTACACACATACCGATTTCTAAATCTAATATAATATATAATCATGGCTATATTATATTTATCATCGAATATTAAGAATCAATATTCTCTATACACGTTCAACAACTACCTTAGATAAAATACAATTGTTACATGACTTCCAGCACCACCATGACCCTAAACTACCTACCTACATACAACAATACCAAAAGAGAAGGAAAAAGTCAACAATTAATTGAAACTAATTAATTCATTAGTTAATTAATTAATTAATTAATTAATCGTATATACAATTATTTCTTTCATTCAATATAACACATACAATTGGAGAATTATCAAATATCTGTGCTTGTGTGTGTGTGTGTGTGTGTGTGTGTGTGTGGTATTGTGAAGTGCTCACACACCTACTTACTGTACACACACACATATACATATATATATATATAATTAATAATGTAATTTGTGGAAAAGTTTATTACTACACATCAATAAACTGTTCGAAATAAATCATATGTGTGTGTATGCGTGTATGTGTGTGTGTGTGCAAATAGGTTGAATAGGAGGGATGCTGAAAATGATCATCTGTTCAATACAGTACAGTACAGTACAGTAAAATACACAGTAGGATTTCAATATTTACAACAGTGTTTACAAATGAAGAGAAACGAAAAAAAAAAAGAAGCTCGAGATAACTAACTGTACACAAAAATGAATTGCAACTAGCTTGCACCACAACGATGAAAACTTATTACATAATCATATCATACACATGTATATACATATATATACGTACATATACATACATATATTGATAGATACAAGTAAATAGGTAGGGTATAATAACATACCGATTGATAAAGATAGAATATATGAGGTAGTAGTTGGTTAGTACATAGTTAGTAGTAGTGTAGAACGCAAACGATGCATACACAGTTAAGTTGATCAATGTAAGTTAACAAGAGAAGAAATGAAATTGTATGAAGAGAAGTACAGTACAGTACAGTGCAGCATAATATTAGTGTTCCGATTAATCAGCACGTTCTACACGTGCTACAACTTTACCATCCCATAATGGTAGAACAGCATTGTCATTGGTTAATTCTTCATGAACTACACCTGTGCCAAATTCATCATTAGGTTTTTTGAAAAAATATCTATGCACAAAAAAAGGGAAAAAAAGGAGAGAGAAAAGTGATATATAAATAAACTACACACTGAAAAAAGGATTTCAAAAAGAAAAGGTGACAAATAAGCATAAATAATTAGTAAATGAACAAATCAGGAAGGTGGATACGGCGGTATGGTATACATTGACGAAAGCATTCAACTGCATCACATCATCACAAGACAAGCCCTCAACATTTGGAATCCTCAAGGTCAACGGATGAGAGGAAGGCCATGAAACACATCATGCCGAGAAATAGAGACAGATATGAGGTGAATGATGAACACCAGCTGGATAGAACTAGAAAGCAAGGCCCATTATAGAGTGTAAGGTCAGCGGCCTATGCTTCATTGGCGGGTAGTAACAGGCGTAAATTCAATCAGTCAAAATAATTTCAGTCAAGGAATAAATGATGACTAGAAGAGGAAATCAAAAAAAAAAAGAATTAAATGCGAGCATATACACACACCCACACACACACACACAAATGTAATAGGCATGCATATACACATAAACAGTTATGATGATTTATAGTGTTTACAGGAAATTATTACAAACAGTCTTCATCCAATCACTGTCATTATTGTTACAGAAAAAAATTGATAGAATTAAGTTTTTTTCTCTTCACATCTAATCGTTCATTGGTGTATATTTAGACTGGCCCAATTGTTTGGCCATGGACGACAACAAGAGTATTTCTACACATTATCGGCTGTCGGTGTTATTATATCATGGATGTATATGCATGTTTAGAAAGAATCTCTCCTACACAAAGACACACACACATATAAAAGCTCTATTTTGTACAAGAATAAAGTGTGTTTAGTCTAAAAAAAAACACAAATTAGCATAATATCACTGTAGACCTATTATTTATATATATATATACATGCACACAAAAGAGAAACAATCAATTTCGACGGGGAAAAAAAGTAGGAAGCAAGCAAAAGAGAGAATAATGTAAAAAATAAAGGAAAAAAACGCAACAACAACGACGATAGCTCATTTGATTTGTTGAAATAAATCAATCCTAGTTAGTTTGTTTATTTTTTGTGATAGAGTTCTTTTATGATTAGTTGTATTAGAGAATTATGAAGATAGATGTTTTACATTGAAATGAATCATTTTGTGCTCATTAATGACTAGGTTGGTGAAGAAATTCTCAAAGTACTCCTGACCATAGAGCTGCCAACCTTGACGTGGTGGTCGGGTTTGCCTATCTATCATGATGACCAAACCCATGTGTATATTGGCTAGAACATATATTGCTGTAGGTTCTATTATGCCAGACAGGTCGATTGGAGAACGATGAGACTAAAAGCAGCTGCTACTGGAGGTCTGAGGAAGAAGTTTTACTGCTGGCTATAGAGGATTGTGACAGCAGTAAGGCAACCAGCATTTGTAGCAATGCTGCCTCCTTCTCCACAAGGAAGGGGTTAGAAAAGGCCGACCCTAAGAATTTCACACCAGACTTTCCCCAACAACTTTCGCTTCTGGAGGTCAGGATATTTGAAGAGTGGAGCTAAAACATTAGAAACTCATAAAAAGGCCGTGCGTGACGGGCTTCGGGCAGTTTTCCCTTGGGCTTTCAGTTCGCTAAGACCAGTGCTATTCCAATTTTCTTTTCAGGTTCCTGAAGAAGCACCCTTCCACGGTGTGGACAACCGGGAAGTGACAAACAACCTCATAATTGTAACAGCACAAGAGATTGAATTGGTCACAATCAAATCCTTCCTATACATCTTAGTAACTCATTCTTATGTCCACGACTTATTCTTCTAACGTTCTTTTGTCACCTCGTGCCGCTGATGCAGACAATTCAAGTACGCGAAACGTTATTCCTTGTCTCCGGTATCAACTTCAGTCAATGCAGGATATTGAAGTCACGGATCGATCAATGTCAAACGACCATTATAAACTTGGAAGCACTGGACGTTCGTTTAGTCCTGTTATGGGATTCGACAGCAGTGCATATCCATAACTTGTGCAACTTGCAGGACCTTCTGTCTGGATGAGGTTGCACAAGACCGAGGATTGATCGAAGTCAAACATTAACGCTGTTAGATGCTGACTCAGTAGTGCAGATGTTAGGCGTTCAGGCAGGTTTGGATCTTGTGAGTTGCAGTAGTCGTTGGTGCGCACTGTTAATGAGTCCTACACAACAAGACAAAACAGCCGTCCAGTGCTTCCAAATTTTTCTAATGGTAGTCTAACATTGATCGATTCGTAAATTTCAAAAAGCAACTCAACAATCTCCACATCAATTTCATGCAAAGAAACAACTTACCGATAAACACCCTTTTTAGCAATTAATTGTTTAAATTGTCCTAGCGTTAATAAAGATTGATTATTGAATTTGGTTTGAATCCCACTATCAACTGTTTCTAATTGATTATTGATGTCAACAAATAACCCAGAACTGGTGGTAGTAGTATTAGTAGTAGTAGTAGAAGTAACAGTACCATGAGTAGATACAGATGAATTCTGCAAGCTACCAGTCCAAACAGTTCGATAAGGAACCGGGTCGTCGCATAGATAATAGCCAACAATTAATCCATTGTTTGATGAATTATTTGTTATAGCAGTAGAATTAGAAGTTGTAGTATGATAAGTTGGTTGAATCATCAAAGACGATGTTGACGATGATGATGATGATAAGGATAATGATGATGAAGAGTTCACATGTGAACTAATATTCAATACAAAATAAATAAATAGGAAATTAATTAATTAATTAATCATTAAATTAAACGTAATTTATTTCGTTTTCTTTAAAAAAACATGCTTCTTCTGAGGACGTTCGATCCCCATAACTCACTTGAAAAGTGTTCTAATTTTGGATTTATTATGTGTTTGCGTGCATAAGCTGCTCAGTTGACCTTGAGCTTACTATTGCCACTCGGAAAATCTTTGACTGTCATTGGTTGATGGATTAGTTTAGTACGCTAGTTTTTGGCTCTCCCAAGGACGTTTCTATCATTGTATAATAAATAAACTTAATTTGTGTGCTTGTCAACCTCGTGTTTTCTGGGTGCTTGTAGCACTTGTACACTTTCTACACCTTTTCAAGACTTCTTGATATAGTTAGCCAAGGCCGGGGACAACGGATTAGAATAGCTTATCGTGTCACTGTATCATTTGTCTTCGCTTTGTTTACCGAGTAAGGTGAACTCGTAATAGTTTCAAGCATATCAAAATTATAGAAAAAAATTCTGTATTTCTTTTATTTTAACTTCTCCTAGAGCCGTTCCTGGGTTACTGCCAATCCCAAGCCTGGATAAAGGAGGAGGGTTTGGTATATGAGCTTAGCGAACCCATGCTTTAGAAAACGAACTCGCACGGAATACTTACTTACTTACTTACTTACGCCTGTTACTCCCAATCGAGCATAGGCCGCCCACCAGTTTTCTCCAACCAACTCTGTTCTGGGCTTCCCTCTCCAGTTCTGTCCAATGTTTGTTCATTCCTCTCATATCTTTCTCTATTTCTCGGTGTAATGTGTTCCTTGGCCTTCCTCTTTTCCTTTTGCCTTGAGGGTTCCATGTGAGGGCTTGTCTCGTGATGCAGTTAGGTGCTTTTCGTAGTGTGTGTCCTATCCACTTCCACCGCTTCTTCCTGATTTGCTCCTCCACTCGACTCTGGTTTGTTCTCTCGCACAGTTCGTTTTTGTTGATGGTGTCAGGCCAACGAATACGAAGTACTTTGCGTAGACAACTGTTAATAAGAACTTGTATCTTCTGGATGATGGCTTTGGTAGTTCTCCATGTTTCCGCTCGATACAGTAGAACTGTCTTCACATTTGTATTGAAAATCGTGATTTTGGTTTTGGTTGAAAGTTGTTTGGAGTTCCAGATATTTTTCAACTGTACAAATGCAGCCCTTGCTTTGCCAATCCGTGCCCTCACATCTGCATCGGATCCACCTTGGTTGTCGATGATGCTGCCCAGATATGTACAGGTGTTAACGTCCTCCAAGGCATCTCCATCAAGTGATTTGATTGGTGCATGTTGTGTTGCATCGGAGAATTTTGCTTTTTCCTTTATGTGTATGTTGAAACCTACTGCTGCAGAGGCTGCTGCTACACTGGTCATCTCTTGCATTTGTTGTTGAGTGTGCGATAGAAGAGCCAGATCATCTGCGAAGTCCAGATCGTCCAGCTGCGTCCTAACTGTCCAGTTGATACCGTGCTTCCCTCCAGATGTCGACGTCTTCATAATCCAGTCGATGACCAGGATTTTGGTGTCCATTACTGCCTTACTTACCTACTTACGCCTGTTACCTCTAATAGAGAGCATGGGTCTCCGACCAGCTAATTATTTATCTGGTTAGCCATTTTTTTTAGCGAGTTGGATTTTTAAGAGATGGGATCGCTAAGCGCATGATCAACTCTCCACTTTATTCTGAGTTCGGACCTGCAGTTAACCCCACTGAGGCTCAAAGCAGAGTTCTTTTACTCTGTCTTACTTCAGTTTAAGTAATTAGATAAACTATCCACACTAGTTGTCCTGCTTATAGTTGATGTAATTTGGTTGAAATACCAATGTGATATAATAATCATATTATTACTATTTACCTATCCAATCATTAAGGTTCGATAGAGAAACAACTAACCTTGTTGTATTGTTATTTTCATTGTTATTATTGTCATCATAATTGTTGTCACTGGAATCCCGTTGAATATTCTTGTTCAATTCTAGATTATTATCATTATTATTATTATTATGACTATTACTATTATCAGTAGTAGTAGTGGTAGTAGTAGTAGCATGAACATTATTACTAGCAATACGATGTGCGCTAGATTTTCGATGACCATGATACTGATGCTGATGATGATGTGATTTTCGTGCATACGATGACAATGCTTTGCAATTTTTGTTGAATTTTGATTGTGAATTATTATTATCATTAGTAGTAGTAGTGGTAGTAGTATTAATGGATGGCAATAATTCCACATTATTTGATGAGATGCAGTTGGTTTTGTGTTCGCTTTCATGATCATTAGTAGTAGTAGCAGTAGCAGTAGAAGTGATGGTCGGTCCGCATGGTGAATGTACATTTTCTAATGGATTCTGTTGTAGTTTTAGCCAATGTTGAAGTAATTTACCACTTGCTGGTTTTTCACAATTATTATTATTATTCACATCTGTTATAAAATTGAAAAAATAACAACTGATTATTTTTTTTGTGAAGATTTGAATATGAAAATGTAACTAGCTTGGGAGTAAGTAATCATTGGAACGTAGCTATTTTTGGCATATAACCTACCTACCTACCACCATCAAGCTAGATAGCTAGCTAGCTAAATAATTTGGCTTTGTCAATAATGAGCTCACACGAACAATTAATGAATTCATAGACTAAAAACAAATTTTTTATAATTTGTGACTGCGTTATATCAACTCATTCAGAACCCTAGTCCTGCTTCAACAAGCATTATTGATCGAAGTAGACAATGGTTAGCCATACGTAATACATACAAGGACGAGACGACCTTCCAGTGCTTCCAGGTTTCTAATCACAGTATAACAATCGTCAATTGGTCATTTCAATAAAACTCAACAATCTTTACAACTGTATGATGAGAATCTTATGATAGAAACATACTTTCAGAACTGCATTCTTTAATTCTGAGCTGTATAATACATTCGAAACCTTACTCTATCAACTTCTAGTTCCAATTATCAGTTCGTCTTATTATCTCATGCTTGCGTTCTTTCTGAATGCTGTCCCCGTTGCTTTGTCTATTACATGTAAGTGCATTCTATGTATGGGCTTACTGATTCATCAGCGCACACTTTCGCCTATTCTTTCCTCTTCCAGATCACCTTACACGCTGCTCCTCAAACTCTCCCTTCAGGTACCAAAATATCACCACCTTCTTAATGCATTAAGTATGCAGGAGACTTTAGATTGATCAGAGTTAGACATTAACACCATCATATCCCGGTACAAATGGTCCAGAGATTAGGCGTTCGCGCACAAGATCAAAGTTCTAAGGGTTCGATTCTTGCGAGTAGCAGTCGTGGACAAGCACTGCTTGTGCTGATAAGTCCCATGCCAGGACAAAAACAGTCATTCTATGTTAGCAAATTTCTAATGGTTGGGGTCTAACAATGATTGATTGATTGATGATTTCAATGCGTGAAAATAATTCAATGGAAAAAGAAAAGAAGCTTAACACCACGATTTATTACACTTTGTCATGTTTAATTAAGTAGTTTGTTTGTTTTTTCTTTAAAAAATTTATAATGCAAAACAAAAAAGTTTTATCAACAAAGTGTTTCATCATTTTTCTTCTTGTCATTTAACTAATTATTATTTCACAATTGTTCTATTATAGTAGTTAGTTAATGTATATATTTGGCGCCATTAAAAAAAATTATACTATTCAAAGTGTGTGTGTGTGTTTATGATTTATGATTACTACTTAATACATGATTAAGTGTTATGATTTTGCTTGGTTATTTGTTTGTTTGAATTCAGGCATAGCCACAGAGAATAAAAATAATAATAAAACAAAAGAGAGAGAAGTAAGAAAAAACAACAACAGAACGATGATGGTAATTTATATATTGAAATAATGAACAAGTAAGTAAGTGTACAAACTCCGCCAGTAGAACCTTCGGGGCTACTGCCGGTCCCAAGCTCGGATAAAGGAGGAGGGTTGGACATGGGGTTGGCGACCCTATTCCGTCGAAATCTCACTTGCCAAAAAAACGATAACCAGAAAAAGTAATTCAAACCCTGGGAGTTGGAAGAAGAATTATGACGTCTCGTGATGAAAGCCGAGTTCCCTAGGAAGTCAAGGGGCCGATGTCTCTTCTGACAACCAGAGCAACCATTTTTTTAGATACATGGAGAACCCTAAAGGCAAAAGGAAAAGAGGAAGGCCAAGGAACACATTACGCCGAGAAATAGAGAAAGATATGAGAGGAATGAACAAACATTGGATAGAACTGGAGAGGGAAGCCCAGGACAGAGTTGGTTGGAGAAAACTGGTGGGCGGCCTATGCTCCATTGGGGGTAACAGGCGTAAGTAAGTAAGTAAGTAAGTAAGTAAGTAAGTAAGTGTACAAAACACAAAAATAAAATATATATATATATACATGAGATGAATAGTTTGTTTGTTTTTCAAAAGAAAAATGATAAATGAAACTTTACTATCTATAATAGTGTCAAGTAATTCTTAAAAGTTTGTAAAATGATTTTATGAACAAATTCTGTTAACATACATGTCAGTCAGTAAGTCAGCTACAATGTACATACAACATTTCAAGTTGTCATACCACATTGGCACAGAGATGCGATTGTCGATTCAAATCCCATTGTGGTAGAGGTAGTAGAAGTATTAGCAGTAATTGGAAAGATCACGGTCCGAAGATATTATTTAGGAAGTATAATCTAGTGAATGAGGCATTCAGATTAGAATTTCGGAGAACATAAAGAGTGGATGCATCTACACCAACGAAAAATGATTTTGAGCCATGTCATTAAGGGTCTCTAATCGTCAATTATTATATCATCTCGCGGGCCCCAACCAAGTAGTCAACATCTACCGACATGACTCGGTACACTTGTCAGTGACTTGGAGGATTTCTGCCCTGTTTTTGTCTTGCGGCCCCTAGGTTTCTTCAAACATACGCCTACATCACAAAACATCACTCGTCAAGGCAGTCGGTGGTTAAGCATACGGAACACATGCCTCAAACACCTTAACTACTTCATTGAATGATTTACCATCCTTACGTAGTACCCATTTCCTAATCTCAGAATTGCTTACTCGGTTGTCCTAGGATACAAGAGAAATGCTTCGGAGACATCTATAATCGAACACTAGTAACCTACGAATATCTTCTACTATCACTGACCATATTTCACATATATATAGTAGGACGGAGAGGACGGGTGCGTAGCAAGCTCGTCCTTTTGGTTAGCAGACGGATATCTCGCCTACGCCATAAGTAACGCAGGTTGGCGAAAGCCGGTCGAGCCTTTTGTATCTGCGCTGACATTTCGTCAGTCACTAGACCATCAGTAGAACTTTAATTCATCAATTCGTCTTAATTGACATTTGTGAAAAGCCTTGTGCTGATTGCCTCGATAATAGCTGTATTTTATAAGCATTATGAACAGAGATGGATAGTAGGTAGGCAATGAAATCCAGAATGCATGTTCTATCCTCCTAATTAAGACTCATCTTTGGCTGGATGTACTTACATCAAAGAGTTGATGTTCACCTTGAGACTCGAACCGTTTCCTTCAAACGTCATCATTACGTTATTCACTAAGCCAATGTGTGCAGATAGTCACCGATTCATAGAAAGCCAGTGAATTTCAATACATTTGCATTGGCAATTCGAATCTTCCCATTGATAGTTGTAAATTCAATCGATCAGTCTCATTTGGCATTTATACAATCACAAGCATAATAACTATATGTATTTAACTAATGTACTTTTCTCATTTGAGAATGCATTCATTGAAGTATACATTATTATTTAATGCTATACAAACAATATTCATGTTCATGTTATAAAAATGTTCTTCCTAACATTAAGAACAATCAGAATTGTTGTATTCTATTATGTCTATAAAGCATGATAATACATTCAATTTTTAATTTAACTCTACATACTACTGACAATAGCCATCATAATAGTAGTAAATAATGTGAAGTAGAATTTATCCTACATAAAAGGTTAGCGAAAACAATACATATCAAAGAATTTTTTTGAAGACAAGAAAAACAATTACTAACCGAAATCAATGATATACATATATATGTATATATTGATAATTCACTTCAGAACAATCACTACTTCTCTTTATACTGTTTTCATCCAAGCGACGAGAGTTTAAATTATTCCATAGTCATCCTATATAAATATATAAATATATATATATATATATATATATATATATATATATATACCTATATACCTGTTATACTGTCTCAATCCTATCATCCTGTTTTCATTCAATATTTAAAAAAACCAACAAAACAAAAAGGGTGATGAAATTTACAGGAAGACTGAAATAGACAAAACGATAAAATCAAACACAGTACCGGTTATGTATGTATTAAGCTATTCGGTGGCGGTAAATAAAATAATAATCATTATAATAATCATAATAATAATCCTTTTATTAATTCATATGCTACAGAGAGAAGAAAAAAAGTACATTGAAGTGGATTTCATACATTCATACATACATACACAGACACACACATACACATACATTCATGCATTAAAAAAAACTAATAGCTATTATTATTCTGATGACAGAAATTATAATCAAAAGAAATTACCGACAATCAAATGAATAATATCAGCGCAGCTTGTAAAAGTAGTGTGAGAGATATGTGTGTGTGTGTTTGTGTACGTTCATCTAATACGTGTTTCTATATATTATGTCCGTTGACAATGCTAATCTCTTTGTATTTTTCAAAAAGACAGAGAGAAAACAGACACATAAGTTTATGTGTGTATGTGTGTGTGTAGAGTAAAAAATAGACGCCGGTATTATTTGAAATGTCAACAAATACACACACACAGATAAACAAACAAACAAACAAACAGGACAAAAACACAAACATCAAAGTAAAAAATGAACGGTGTGCATAAAAGTGATTTTTTTTAGACAAAATAGGTAAATAACAATGTCAAAAAAATGTACGAAGACAAAGTGTAGTATTCATATACACACACATGTACCAACACGTACGTAAGTATATAAATACATAGGTAGGCACATATACACGGAAAAATAAGAATGCTTTTTGCTATATTTTAACAACAACAACAACAAATAAAACCAAGTTTGCGGCTTCTTTAGAAAATAATTTATACACATATCACAATGGAGATAAATACATCGAAAAAAAGGAGCAGGAGAAAGGGAGTAAGTAAGTAATGGGAAACTAAATAACAATGACGACAACAACAAGTTGAAAAAAAAACATAAAGATAAAAGAAAATTCTACTTTGAAATCGTGAATGAATCATTGTTAGACCAGGCAGGCATTAGAAAAACCTCGAAGCATTGAATGGAGGTGTATTATTCCTCATTAGTATGGAACTTATCAGCAGTGCACTACTACCACTACTACTCAATAGGGAGACCTTTAGTCTTGTGTATGAACGCTTGAACATCTGGACCACTAGTTTAGTATCTAATGATGTTAATGTTCAATTCTGATCAAGCTAGGGGGATTTTTGCACAAGCACACCCACTGTCTCCTCTCTATAGTTACTGCCTACACCAGATGGGGGTTGAACTCCACTGGTCACATCTACTCACTCAAAGCTAGTCACTAGCAAGCACATTTTGCGATTTTGTATTAGGGTATTATGGAGATGGTAATGCTATGCACTGCTAATAAGTAATCCCATACCAAGACGTCTTTCAGTGCTTCCCCAGCGGTCTTGTACGTGAACGCTATAACCTTTAGATTTCAAAGTGACTTAACCATCTTTACAAATCGATAGTGAATATTTATTACATAAAACCTTTATAACTAACTAACTTACTACATTTCGAATTCAAATCATTATTGATCAATAATTCTGGACAATGTGAATGCTGAAGAAGACGATGATGATGATGATGATGATGATGAGAAGGTTGAGGAAGATGCGAATGATGACGATAATACTGATGAAAATCCGGATAACCATGATGATAATGATGACGATATATGGAAGAGCATAAATTACATAATTGTAAATTATTCATAGTAGGTTGATGCAATAATTGTTTAGATGTGGTTTCATTTGAATTGAATTCGTAACAAGATGAGATAAGACAATTTGTTGGAGTGAATTCATTAGTACAATTAGTAGTGGTATTCGTATTTTTATTATTGTCATCATTATACATAGATTTTGATGCAGAATGTGTACGACTTCCTCGTGATGTGGAAATAAGTGTATCTTTCAAAGTAGAGTCGGTTTGCCAATTATGAAGGCTCCTATGTATATATATAAATATATATAAATTAATTATATTAATATTAATAAAAACTAACAACTTTGAGAAGTTTTATTTCATAACCAATAAATTGATTGATGCATTTAACTAAGGTATAGGCCTTAACAAAATTCTTAGATACACGCTTAGTTGTCAAGAATCTTTCGAAATTACATGTACTTAGTAGTGACTAGCTCCGTGAGGAAGTGTCTCCAAGTTCTAGTGTGAAGTCGTGACATGGGGCGTTTAAACCTGCTCAGGTGTGAAGCAGTACTCAAGAAAGACAGTGGATAATGAATGTTGCGCACAACCGTGGAAAGATCGAACTTAGACACTAACACCGATAGATACTGTCCCAGTAGTTCAGAGGTTAATCGTTTGCGCGCGAGGCCGAAAGTCCTGAGTTCGAATCTTGCGGATTGCAGGAGTCGTGGATGCGCACTACTGGTGAGTCCCATACCAGAATGGCACGGCCGTCCAGTGCTTGCACGTTTCGAATGGTGGTCTAACTTCAATCGATTCCTGATTTCAAAAAAAGTATCTTTCGAAATCAAAATTAACCGCTTTAAGAAAAAGCTCCTTCAAATACTTAACATTCATATATATATATATATATATATATATATATATATGTTTTATTGTATTCTAGGCCACATTAATTATACTTCAAAATGATTATCACATTCCCAAACCCGAACGAAGGAAGAGGGTTGGACATGGGGGTTAGTAACCCTATCCCATAGAAAAAAAACTTGCTGAAAGAAACGCAAAGCAGAAATAACAGTTCAAACAATTTACACTTTGGCAGTTGGAGGACCTTCATTTAGAAGAGTTATCACACCATATGATGAAAGTCAAGTTTCTTCAGAGACCACAAAGCCGATGCCTCTTCTGACAATACGGAATGTTTGCACAATGTGAGAGACCAGAAGAACTATGTAGGCTTCTTCGATTCTACAGTGTACCTGAGAAAATAGTCAACATCATAAGGAATTCTTACAATGCGTTAAACTGCGGCATCGTGAATACGAGGCAGCTCACCAGTGCGTGTTCTGTAACAATCCCTTTATACAATAAGGGCACCACCTAAATATATATGCACCACACAAATTATTGAATCCACAAGGCAATAGAGCAACCTTAGGAGAGGACGATTTCATGGTAGCCGGTGACAAACAATTATTAGTTTATGCGCCATTTGTCCAATCGGGATCTTGGAGGTCATATGGAGCACCACTGGTTCGAAGTCAGAGTTTTCCAACTCCTCTCTAGGTACATTCAACGTATCCACCGACCCGATTTAAGGCTCTGCCGGACATGGACGTTTCGTCCTCTCAAACACGTTACTGTCTTTTATCACCACCCAATTCCAAAAAGCAGTACATTAGTCAATTATGTTTAAAAAAATAATAATAACAATAATAATAATAATAATAATAATAATAATAATAATTACGTACTGGCTTCGATTTTCTCGGTTATTATTATTAGTATTTGTACAATTATTTATTTGTTTTCTTAAAGGTAATTGATCATAAGCTGATGATATGCCTGAATCAAAAGTACTCGATGTATCTGAAGCAGTAACCATCATAGGAGGTAAATATTGATTATGACAAGGAGTTGAATGTTGATGATTACTATTAGTATTATTATTATTATTATTATTATTACAATGACAATAATTAGACAAGGAATGATCATTTAATGTTGATGATGATGATGGAGCACGTGTACAACGAACACAATGATAACATTCACATGGTATCATTACATCAGACTGTGGCTGACCTGCCAAAGCCGTAACCACCTCCGCCGTTGTTGTCGATGTGTTCTTGACAGAAGTAGTCGTCGTCGTCGTAGTAGAGCATGTAGAGCATGTAGAATTCGCATGAAAATCATGAATTGGATGATATGATGACAATTCATAAAACGATTCACAATGTTTACTTCGCCGTCTTCCTCCTTTTCTCAATCGATTATTACTATTATTACCAGTACTGCTATTTCTTCCATAGGAAGGATAGACAGGATGATGATGATGATGATGAAATAATTCATGTGGATAATGACGTAGAATTTTCTCAACTAATTTTGCTGTCACTTCACCATTAACAAGTGCTAATTCTGTGGTCGATGATGATAAAGCTTGTAAACTAGCTGCTTCTAAAATCGATGCTGTCTCTACTCTGTCGTCATCGTCATCGACATCAACATCATTGTCATTGTTAGTATGATTATGATTATCATTGATAATGTCCAAATCATCATGATAACGAGGATGATGATGATGATGTAATCGATACCGATTCTTATGATGATGATAGTAATAATAATTACTACTACTGACAACACCACTATCCCATGATGCAATAGAGCGTAGATCTGATTTAGCCAATCGATTCAATCTTGAATGATAACTAAAATGGTCGTTATCTAAATCAGTCATCGGTTGTGTATCATCATAACAATGATTCAATGTAGCTAAACAAGATGAATTAGTTGATGATGTGACAATGACTGGGGTAAATGCAATTGGCTCTGTGCATTTTTTCAATTCATACGAATTGATCTTTGATTTATTATTATTATTATTGTAGACAGTGTCGAATTGATGTGGTTTCATTGAGCTGACAGATAATATTGGAGGTTGTTGCGGTTCTTGTTGTCGCGGTTGTTGTCTTTTTAATGATGCCGCCGCCGGTGACAATGACGGTGGTGAGGATAATAGTAATAATTTTTGATTCATATTAAACTCTGATTCATCTGACCAAATTCTTGAACAATGATCATCTAATATATCTTGAGCATTTTGTGTTTTATGAAATAATTGTGATGAAATTAAATGATGAGGATTAGGCATGAATGTAAATTGTTGATTAGTTGAAGAATTTACTTCATTATTATTCATGGGATTACTAGTACTACTATTAGCAGTGGTAGTATTAGTAGTAGTAATAGTATCGCTAGTCGTCGTTGTAACATTGATCAATGAATTGGTATTGAATTGTGAACAATTCAAATTATTTGAATTAAATGATAAATTATGTTGATTGGTTGAAATTAATCCATTAGAAGAATTAGTTTGTTCCATTGGTAAATTATTTTTCGATTCATCAACCTAGTTTTATAATGTTGAAATATTATTTTATTTTTTCAAATAAAAATTAGTGTTATTTCACATTAATGAGTACATGGAAAGATGAATGAAGTTAAGATAAGTGATAGTAGATTAATAATAACTCCACCCAGAGCCCTACACTAGGGTTACTTTCGATCTCAAGCCAGGATAAAGAAGTAGGGTTGGGCATGGGGGTTAGCAACTCCATCCCGCCAAAAAAGAAAAAACACTAACCAGGAAAAATAATTCGCTAGACAGTGGCCTAAACTTCACTAGACATAACAGGCGTAAGTAAGTAAGTAAGTAGATCATTAGAAAACACTTTTTCAACTGGATGTATCCGGTGCAAGACTCAAACCTAGTACCGTTTTCTTCAAGCAGAATCGATCTGGGACACCACCCGGAAGCCCGAACTAGAGGAGCTGGTTTTCCTAGGAGGGCCACTGACTGAGCCTTGGATCTACAGGTCTAATCCATAAGCTAGTCAAGCAACGTCAGAAGGCCTAGTTCCATGGTAGTGTTATCAATAGTAGGTTTATACGTCATTAGTTCAATCAGGATCCTGGAGCCCATGTACACCATAAGTTTGGTATGAGGATTTTCCAACTCCTGTACGTGAATCCACCATATTCACCAACCCTATAACGCCACACATTCGCTTCCAGTACTCTCAATTTCACAATCAACATCACTGTTGCACTGGTAGGTAGTGAGCAAGATTTCTCTAGTGGTGGTTATATGAGCATGTTAGTTTCAGAGCATCTCGATAGGGAGAGTGGAATTCAACCGTGTCAGAAGTGAGGCAGTCATTCACGAAAGACAATGGATGGTGGATGGTTCCACAATATCGGGGATTGACTGATGTCAGACGTTAACGCTGTTAGATGCTAGTTCAATGGTCAAGAGATTAAGTGTTCATTCATGAGATCGAAGGTTCTAGGTCCGACTCTAGCATTCGGGGTTTTGTGAATTCTCACTACTGAACAATCCCATACTAAGGATGACCGTCCAGTATTTCTAGGTTTCTAATGGCGATCTATCGCTGACTGATTCATGAATCCAATGAAATTTGAATGATACACACACACACACAAGCGGATAAACAAGCATGTGTACAGAATAAAAACAAAACATAACTCACTTGATGATTAACAAGTGACATTAATTTTTCCAATTTACCACGTGATTCTTTGACTTTCTCCAATCGATCAGTTAATAATTGAACAAATGAAACTGGATCTGACTCGGCTAAATTGGTTTGCTTTTTTATTGTCCAATGAGGTTGTTTTAACGGATTATTAGACTCTTTCAACAAGTTATCAGATTGATGTATTATTATTGGCTGTAAATTAACTGAATGTGTAATTGATAAATCCTTATTATTTATCAATGTGGACTGTGTTGAATGTACTGTCATCGTGGATGAAGATGTAATAGGTGTTTGTGTGAATAGTTGATTGGATTCATTTCCATGAAGTGAATTATTATTATTATTATTGTTTGTGAAAGATGATTGATGTTTGAACATTGATTGAATGTCACTGTCATTGACATGATTATTTGTTTGTTCTAAATGATTGTCAGTTAATCTAAATAAACAAAATAAATATGTTATTATCGAATGAATGGCTTGAAATAAATGATTTATTAAATGACGAAAGAAGAAACTCTCCGGTAAATGCAAATGATCAAATTTTATGTACAAGAATAAGTGATTGATATCTACTAGTTGAAGTTTAGAACTCTTGCCTGAGGATGTATTGGTCAGACAGAATCAGCAACAACCTACTGTGGGAGAGAACAAACTAGATTCTAGCAAAGGAATCAATCAGGAAGCGCTGGAGGTGGATAGGACAGACATTGATGAAAACACCCAGTTGAGTCAAGAAGTAAGAGCCCTTACTTGGAATCCTCGAGGCCAACGGAAAAAAGACAGACCAAAGCACACATTTAGTCGAGAATTGGAGAAAAATGAATAGTAATTCGGTAGAACTGGGGAAAAAAATGCTCAGGATAGAGTAAATTAGGGAATGCTGGTCAGCGAGCCTATGCTCCAATGGAGTAACAGGTGCAAGTAAGTAAATAAGTAAGTTCAAGTCTAACTTTCATGTACAAAAAAACAACATGTTCGATAGCTGATTCTTGTATAGTCTCAAACCTTTTTTCTCAATTCTTACATAATCTATTGGATTTTTTGTTGACTTCGTTTTAAAACAATGAGTTCTATTAGTTACCAATTATTTTCATAAGTATTAATCAGAAGTGCGCATCCACAACTCCTGCTACTCGCAGGAATCGAACCTAGGACCTTCGGTCTTGTGTGCGAACATTCAACCTCTGAACCTCTGAGTCAGCATCCAACAGTGTAAATGTCTAAGTTCGATTAATTAACGATCTTGCGAAATGTCATACACTGTCTTCTGTGAGTACTGCTTCACACCCGCACAGGACCAAACTTCATTGGTCACGACTTCTCACTGGAACTCGGAAAAACCTCCTCATGGTGCTAGTCACTGCTGATAAGCCCCAGATTTCAAAGTAACTCAACAACCTCCACAACCCTATGAAGAAAATCATAAAAATGTGCTCACTAGTGGTGACTAGCTTGATGAGAAAATTCTCGGAGTTCCACTAAAAAGATATGGATCAGTGGAGTTCAACCCATGGAAGATTATGAATGACGTCACGCAATATCGTGGAATAATTAAGTTAGCTATTAACACCACTGGATGCTGACTCAGATGGTCTAGAGGTTAGGTGTTCGCGCGCATGTGACCAAAGATCCTGGGGTTGGATTACTACTGCATGCAGGGCTCTTGGAATGGCACTACTGAATTCAATGCTTCCAGGTTTCTAATGATGATAGTCTAACATCGATCGATTCATTATTTTTCAATGAAAAATAGATTAATTTTTGACTCTTATTTTTTGTTAAACAAGCAACTGTTTCTCATTTAAATTTATCAATAACTGTCTACGATTAATTCATTAAAAATCTTTTTTTAAAGTAGAAACTTGGATAGAAAATTTTTGTAAAGGTTATGATGAATTATTTTTTTTTACCGATTAAATTTTTTTACATGTTCGTTCAGTTCAGTTGAAAAGTCGAGTAAAAAAAAATCATAATCATAATCATAACAAAGCTGTTTTAGTCCACATACCTACCTACCTTCGACGCCGAGTAAAACTACACATTTAATAAACCGATAGATAGATAGAAAGAGAGAGATACGCATATATAATACAACGAAGTTTGTATTGTAGATAAGAAACGATCAATAATAAACAACCGCACACACACACACATATGCACATGCATACATACATACATACATACATACACGACAACAGTTATGTGTAGATGACAAACAAAAAGAGAGGTAAACATTTTTCCAAAAATAATAATCATAATAATATTGATATGCATTTATACAATACATAGTAGGCTTGTCATAAGTACCGTCGCCGCCGTTGCCGCCATAGTCAAAGATGATGTTACTATTCTTTTTTGACCGATAAACAAGAATTAGCTGTTGTTGTTGTTGTTGTCGTTACAGTGTCTGTGTGTATGTGTATGTGTCTGTGTCTGTGTATATAGTCGCATTTCTATATTCAATTACACATAGATCGCAGCATTTTTTTTAAAAGAAAAACAGCTTAAACTATCCTTCATAATAATAATGACAATAATAATAATAATAATAATAACAATAGACCGATTTAGATTGAGAGCGTAAAACCATCTTCAAAACATTTTGAACAGCTAAAACGAATAATGAATGTTCTAGCGTACTTGGTGTATGCATGTATGTCAAAGTCTATACCGTGACGATGATGTTCAATGCAAGCCCAACCAATTTATATATAATGTCAATTAGTAAGTAGTCATATTTATCGGTTGGTTGGTTGATTGGTTGGTCGGTCGGTTGATGATTGCGATGACTAAAGGGTAAAAATAATCAATTGGTAAAGAGAAAAAAAGACTATGCATATCAATGTATATTATCATCATAAGTAGAAGGAATAAACACGTAAATAGATCAGACAATAGAAAAAAAGCGCACTTCCGTGACTACTGTACACACACACATCAATGCAATACAATACAATACAATACAACACAATGCACACACACACACGCATTCGGAGTAGACGACAACAGCGATAATAATAATAATGGCTGTTGGAGAAAGAACGAAAAAAAAAGTCTTAAACACGCACCGAAAATACAATAATGGTAATAATATGTATTTTTATCAGTAGTAACAGTAGTAGTAGTAGTAGTAGTGTACACCAATGAAAACAAAACTTTGTCTGATATAAATAAAATCGATAGGGTTTTGTAAAAAAAAGAACAGAACAGAACAGAACAAACAGCAATGAAACAACAGAAATTTCGCTAAAAAAAGTATTTATCTATATATATATATATAATTTCAAACAATCAGACACATTTGTAATGCTGAAAAAGAGTGAGGGGCAAGTTGGGTGGAAAATAATAAAGGCGAAACAAGCGAGAGATTCAATGTAAAATCAATGCTTTGTGTTCATGTTCTTTCGCATCGGCATGACAATTACACGATTATTGCATAATCGATTTTACTAGTTAACCAATGGGATCATAGTATGGAATTTTTTTTAAAAAATAAAATAGAAATGCCTTATAGCTGTTATTCTAAAAAGTGTAGACAACTTTGATGCTATATCTAACTAAACATGTGTAGAACAATGAAATATTAGAAACATTTCAGTCAGTCAGACAGTCAGTCAATCAATCAGTTACAATGTAGAACTTCGTACGTATGTACATCATTGCAAGTTGTCATAACACATTAACATAGACAGATGAGATCGTCAACTCGAATCCCATAGTAGTAGAGGTAGTGAAATTATTAGCAGTTATCGGAAATTTTAACGTTCGACGATACTTTTCTAGAAGAATCTAGTGGAAGAAACTTAAAAAGAAAAAGTGATGAGGAATTCAGAAGGTTACGATTTGAGAGAACTCAAAGAATGGATGCACCTGAGCCATTGCAAACGGTTTTGAGCCATGTAGTTCAGAGTTCCTAACCATCGATTACTATCATCTCGCGGGCCCCAACCAGGTATTCGACATCTACCAACATGACTTAATCCAGTTATCAGTTACTTTAAAGGCTTGAGCCGTGTTTTGGTCTTCCCAACCCTAGCTTTCTCCCAGCCTACCCGTATACCGTAAAATATAGCTCGACGAAGAAGTCGATGGTTAGGCGTTCGTAACACATGTCCCAATCACTCCGAATGATGAAGTTTCAATATTTCATCAATTTATCTACCATTTTTACCTAGAACTCGTTTTCTAACAACAGCATTGTTAACCCGATAGTCCCAAGATAAACGAGTAATGCTTCGGAGACACCTATGATCGGAAACCAGTAACCTACGAATATCTTCTACTCTCACTGGCCATGTTTCATAGCCATAAAGTAGGACCGAGAGAACTACTGCGCAGTACACGCGTCCTTTAGTCAGCAAACGGATATCTCGCCTACGCCATAAGTGACGCAGGTTGGCAAAAGCCAATCGAGCCTTCTGTATCCGTGCTGAGATTTCGTCAGTCACCAGGCCATCGGCACTGATGAGACTCCCAAGATAAGTGAAGCGGTCTACACGTTCGACTACTTCACTCCCTATCACTAGTTCAGGTGCCGATGCAACCCAACCTTGAAGCAACATTTTGCATTTCGAGGGGAGAAACTGCATCCCAAATATGCTAAAATTAAACAAGAATGGAGAGAGTGGACATCCCTGATGGACACCACTTGAAGTAAAGAATTCCGATGACGGTTTGCCGTAATCTCTTACTCCACCAGTGGTGTTCGAGTAGAGAGCCTGTATAAGGTTAATGTACTTCTTTGGTACATCTTTTGATGACAGACACTGCCACAGAACCTCACGATCCACTGAGTCAAATGCCGCTTTTAGGTCCAGGAACACGACTATTGTCGGACGCCTAAATGTGTGTCTGTGTTCCAGGACCTGTCGTGACGTGAAGATGTGGTCTATACATCCGCGTCCATGTCTGAAACCAGCCTGGTTTTCTCTAGTCTGTTCTTCACGTGCTCTAGTTGGGCGTCTAAGGATAACCGAGGCTAACAATTTAGAAACTGTATTCGTTAGACTGATTCCCCTGTGATTGTCACAAGGGGACTTTTGTCCTTTCTTATAAATTGGGACAATCAGGGATTGAGACCAGTCGGATGGGATTACGTCCAGTTCCCACATTCTACCCAAGATCTAGCTGCTAAAGCTGGACAACATCTTTAAAAGTCTCAGGGGTTAATCTATGAGGCCTTGCTGCTCTCTCTCGCTTCGAATTTCCTATAGCTTTCTCAACCTGATAAAGCGTCGGACAACTTACATTGATTTGCCATTCGGGATGACTGGAGATCGTGGGCAGCTGAAATGTGGCTGACGGCCAACTGAACTAATCCCTGAAGTGTTCTAGCCATCGATCCA